CTATACCTTGACCTTCAGATCACAGTATCTGCTGTTAAATATACATAACTAAGAAATGACAAAAGCAATGAAGCAAAATAAACTAATTCATGTATATTCTTTTACTCAGTCTGCTAATGAAACAAACAAGCAGTCCAAATCTTTCTTTACCTGATAATCTAAGAAATAAATTTTTCCCTCTAACTTAATAACTCTAACTCATATGTGGCAATTTTTTTTTTACACACATTTAGGAAGCAATGAATGGAGATATTAGTGACCTGAATCCATTAAAATCCCTGTAGACTACACAAGCACATGCACAAACATACTCGAGACTAGGCTTGTTCCTCTGACTTAGTAACAAAGAACAGGCTTTTCTCTTGGAGTCCAAAAATGACAGATCTTTTAAGTAAAAAAAAAAAAAAAAAACTTCATGCAAAATATTAAGTTTTAAGATTTTAATTTTATTGTTTTAAATTTTTATTTGAGCTCTTATTACACTCAAGTTTTAATAATGCAAACAAATTACATGTTAATGTAACTGAAAGATTTTATGCAATGAGAGGCTCAAATAACCTGATAATTCTAATCTTAGTTTGCTGGTTAAATTTTCTTAAAAATGATTAGGAATCTAATGTCCTACAACACTGAACTAGGAGACTCTAAGCAGAAAACAGTCTGTAGATAGATGATCAGAAAACATATTCACCATAGTGCCCCCCTAGCTTAAATATCAGCAACTAAATTGCATATGTAGACATTAGAGAGCTGATATAATCCAAATATGGGATTATAGTCTTCATCTTAATCTTTCCTCTATATCTTTCAGAATTGATCCTTTTCTTGAAAACTGGACTGATTAAAATGAGCAAAGATATTTTAAATAAATAATCTGTTTGTCTTTTTTTTCCTTTTCTTGCAGTCATTCCCTACAAAGCACTGCAATCTGCCAGTCCTCAGTGACTCTCCGAAGGTCATCTCCCTGCTGATCCCAGAGAAGCAGAGGGGCCACTGCCTGGCTTGCCCTGGGGCCTGTAGACACTGGTGGTAGCCCTATTTGGGAACACATTCTCCTGGGATATACTCTTTTCTTTTATTAACCTTTTATTTGGTATTAGGGTGTAACTGATTAACTGGGTGGCCAATTAACAATGCTGTGACAGTTACAGGTAGACAGCAAAGGGACTCAGCCATATATCTACAAGTATCCATTCTCCCCCAAACCCACCCACCCAGGCTGCCACATAACACTGAGCAGAGTGGGATTACATTCTTAAATAAAAAGCATTTCAACCATGTCTAGATCAACGCTAGACACGATTTAGATCAGCTGAAAGACGTTTCTGGCCAGCATTAGCCCTTTATACACCACAGAAAAGCCTAAACAGGATATATTCCCTATACTTAAAATTCTAGGAAAATTAAGCCAATTTAAGGTAAGTTAAGGGAAGACCAGGGTTCCCTGATAGTTCAGCTGGTAAAGAATCTGCCTACAATCCAGGAGACTCCAATTTGATTCCTGGGAATCGAATTCCAGGGGAAGTTCCCCTGGAGAAGGGATAGGCTACCCATTTCAGTATTCATGGGCTTCCTTGGTGGCCCAGACAGCAAAGAATCTGCCTGCAATTCGGGAGACCTGGGTTCAAACCCTGGGTTGGGAAGATTCCCTGGAGGAGGGCATGGCAACCCACTGCAATATTCTTGCCTGGAGAATCCCATGGACAGAGAAGTCTGGTGGGTCCATGAGGTTGCAAAGAGTTGGACATGACTGAGCAACTAAGCAAAGCACAAGGGATGACCACCAGGCACTTCTAAAATAATACCTATATAAAAATGCCACCACACAATCCAAAAATAATTTCCACTTCTTAGTATGTATTTAGACTATAATCTTAGGAATACAGACTCCGCCTCAGTGAAGACAAATTCAATAATCCAAAACTGCAGTCAAGTTTTTAAAAAACTATTATAACTACTTCAAATACTTAATACTCCTTTGTCTGCAATACAATACAAAAACAAATTCTTCTGAAAGAAGAATTTTTAACCTGTGCAATCTGGAAAAAGCATAATTACTTTAAAGCATATTTCATTAAAAAAAAAAATACTGCTCTTCAAAACAACACTCCTTAAGACAGCAGCACATTTTTAAGACACCATGACAAACTGAAAATCAGGGGAAAAACTGTGTATGTTTCTGGCACAAAATGACTCTTTTTTTTTTTTCCAAAATGACTCTTAAGATTAAATTTTTCAAACTACAAAATATAAAATTTTGTTTTAGAATAAATTTTAATATTTTAGCATATATTCTATGAATTAAATCAGTACATTCTGGTATTCCTCTTCTTTCTATCAAAACCTCTCTTTCCATATCTTTATACAAATTCATATAGAAAAGACTTCCTCAATTTATTATGTTCGACACCTCAAATATTTACAATATTTTTACCTTGAATATCAACTATTAAAACTTAAGCTTGATAATTCCACTCAACTGACATTTTTCTCTTTTAGGCAAAAATACCTGTAGATTTCCTACTCCATTATCTAATAACAAGAATCAGAACACATCCAGTCAATACTAAGAATATGTCTACGTTATTTTTTATGTTATTCTTAAAGGATTCATTCATGTTTTCTATTTTAAAAATAAAAAGCATTTCACTACATGCTTAATATATGAAACATTAAATCATGAAACAAAAAAGAAATCTGTTAAGTTTTTGAAGCAGTTATGCATGCATAGAAAAGCAGTCATGTTAACATGCTGAAATTGACATTTTCTTATATCTAAAAATCCATGTCTAGTAAAATCTGTAATCCCAGGGAGAAGCTAAACATAGAACAAACTTCCCTGAAAACATCTTAATTTCAAATAAATATTATAGATTAGTTAAAAACTTCTCACCCAAAACCAATATGCTCTTCTTATTGGCATAAAACAGGAAAGTTAAAAAAATATTAGCTGAAGTAGTTTACAAGTGTTGTGCCATCATGTCAGAGAAAAACCCGTCAATTATAACTTTCGCAAAGTTAATTCCCAATTCTCATATATTAAGCTCTAAAAAGAAAAAAATTTTTAAGTCATTTTTCTCTTCAAAAAAGCAAAATAAATTGATTCAATCTATTACAGTTAATTTACAAGGTGTAGATATCTGAATATAGAACTAAATAGAAAAAGTGATGACAATTTTTCTGAGTAGTTACTGGTAAATTACTAAAATAAAACAAAGGTCTTTATTGTTTATACAGCAGACCCTAAAGCTGGGCTCTCACCCGCTGCACTGTTGAAGAGAATCCACACAAAGCTTAAAAACAAGTCTGTGGTCCCACATCCATGAATACTATTAAGCCCAGATTGTGCAGAACCACAGCTCATATTTAGTGCAAAAAATCTGCATATAAGACCTGTGCACCTGGAGAAGGAAATGGCAACCCACTCCAGTATTCTTGCCTGGAGAATCCCATGGACAGAGGAGCCTGGTGGGCTATAGTCCACAGGGTCACAAAGAGTCGGACATGACTGAGCGACTTCACTTTACTTCTCTAAATCCAATGACTGGTACAGGGTGGGGAAGGCCTTGGGGTGATGGAGACAGAGGTTGGGCACCACACCCTGTGGAGGCTCCAGGGGAGTATTTAAAAAAAAAAAAAAAAAAGACCTGTGCAGTTCAAACTCTTGTCGTTCTAATGTGCAACTATATATGAAACTCCAATTATATCACCTATCTTTCCTCTTGCAAACACACAATCAGATCTTTTTCAAAGCTGCAATTATATTAAATATTAAAATAACCTTACTCATATTGAGAAGTTAACATTTGAAGGGAAAAACTACCATATTTTTATTATAAGTAAACCCAGTAGGAAGCACAATTTAAAAAAAAAAAAGCACAGGTAATGTTAGAAAGTTATGTACACCTACTGAAAATTTTCTTCCTAATTTAGCTTTTTCTCACAATATTCCTACCAACCCAGAAAAGACAAAATACCATTATTTCTCAGTCCTAGGCCACACACTGAAAATCTATCATGTTGCAAAGCTAACAATGCTGTGCTATTTTCTTCCCTTTTACACACGCCATGGACTCTTTAACATACCATTTATTTTCAGTCCAGGGACTGAAAACAAAATTAAATTGGTAGTACATTAGCCAATACATTTAGTCACTAGGAATTTAAAAGCCCATTCAATACACACCCTTAATAGAGTGACCATTTCATCTGTATCCTCTAGAGGTTACCCTTACATCAGAGTACCAATTTCACTGGATTCTGCCAGGTTACTGGCCTAGAGAGTTAAAGTTTAAAATAAAAACCCATCTATTTAACAATGGAAAAATACTGCTTTTCTCACACATAAATTCAAACTCCTGTCTAATCTGCATTCCCTACAGTATCTCACATAACAGGTAGAGTATTAATTTGCTCAAAAAGTAATTCATTCTTCCTGTACACAAAGGCTATTTCATACAAGCCATTAAAGACTAGCAACAAAATCAGTTCATTAAATGACATATGAAAGAATGACATAAAAATGCTCACGCAATATTCACTCATGACCACCAGAATGAAATTACACCATTCGTCTTACAGGAATCATAAGCAAGTCAACACTATTGTAGAGATTAATGCTAAGAGACTCTGAGTAACCACTTACCTATCTGGATTCACTAAAACTCCCTATTTTATATCTTACTGATATTTATGTTTTTGGCATGAAAAAAGCATAAAGATAAGGATCACTCCTATCATCACATAAATACCGTTCTATGTTCCAAGCACATGTAAGAAAACTCTAACTAGAATTCATGAAACTTTGTTTTGAGTAACTAAATTTTTAAAAATCAACTTGTTTACTATTATAATTTTTAAAACATTACCAAAAGAAACTTAAAATGGGCAAAAGCATATTCTTTCCTACACAATTCAGAAAAGATAGTTAACACAATTAATTTTGTGATGTATTCAAAGGTTGTTCTTTAATATTCCCATTTTCAACAAAGTTAACTGGAAAACTGGAATGTCTGAGAATTCGAATGTGCTGTCAACATTCTGACAAGTCACAAAGGGCTGTTGCAGCAGTTCTTAGGAATCAAGCAACTGCAACCTGACTGGGTGGCAGGGGAAATGCCTTGGCCAACTAGCTGCATTTTAAGTTCCCTGGGTTCCAGTAGCTGCTTGTTCTCTTCACCAGTGTCAAGGTGAGTTAGTTTTTTCATCCACATTTGGAACTTCTCTGTCTGCCTCTGCATCTTGGAATAAAAGCTTATGGCCTCTTCTAGGACACTGCCTATAACGTTTCTAACACACACAGCACCCCTGCCAAGTGATCCTAAAACTTCGCTGGGCGCTCCTTCAGATCCACCAGTATGACTGAAGCCAGCTTTAAAGGCAGTGAGGCCATCTGATAAAACGTCATTAAATCAGAAAATTGTACTTTTATTAAGACATGTTTATTCAGGAAAATGACTTAAGCATTACCAAGAACAGGCAAATAGATTCAGCAATGATAAGGAGCACTTAAATTAATTAATCAAACAAAAGTAATTCTGAGAAAAATAACATGACACTACCCTTTTTCATCGGAGAAGGCAATGGCACCCCACTCCAGTACTCTTGCCTGGAAAATCCCATGGACGGAGGAGCATGGTAGGCTGCAGTCCATGGGGTTGCAAGGAGTCGGACATGACTGAGCGACTTCACTTTCACTTTTACGCACTGGAGAAGGAAATGGCAATCCACTCCAGTGTTCTTGCCTGGAAAATCCCAGGGATGGGGTTGCAGAGTCGGACATGACTGAAGTGACAGCAGCAGCAGTAGTACCCTTTTTCACAGCTTCACCGAATCTGCCTAGGACTTTGTATTTTGTACTATACAACTAACTACTCAAGTTTGAGAAGTATCAGTAGCTTTCAAACTTGCTAAACATAAAGACCTGGAATGGTATAACAAATACCAAAACACAGGCGGCTCCCAGGCATTAGGTTTGTTTTAAGCTCCGTGGGTGATTCTAGTGTACCACCCTGACTGAAAATCACTGTATCCCTGAATATTTTCACACAATGACTTTAAAATTCTAAAAGCTGTTTTAACAGCTGACCCATAATAAGTCAGTATAAATAATTCTCAGTTAACTGATTTTCATCAAATACTCTTTAAGTTAAAAAAACTGTTTTCCTTATGGAAAAGCCACATAAAGGATATGCAAAATCCATGTATACTGCTGTGTAGTATTTTTTATAAACCCCGGTTTGTGCAAGGTACTAAAACATGTATCTCAAAAAAAAAAAAGCTTTGTGGTTAAGCTTTGGATGCACAAACCATATCCTCTTCTGGAGAGCACAGTAATGGCTCTGAGTTGTCCTGCAGTAGACAAATCTGTTTCCACATGATCCAGCATTTTCCAAATGTGTGAACAGTGTACACCTATTAATATCAAGTAGAACAGTGGCTTCAGAGGATTCCAGTTTTAGGATATGCTCTTCTATGTACAGTGTTTTATCCTTGAACTAGGTCAATTAGTTTTGGTTTGGGTCCCAAATACTTTGGGTTTCTAATAAAACTAATTATACTGATCTCTTCTTTTCTTCAGGTAACTATTAAAAATGTTACCTCCTCAGATCACTCTTGCCTATGCTACCTAAAATAGCTATTCTACTCCATCTCTAGTTCATTTTTATCTGAACTCTTATATCTTGCTTTATTATTATTCATAATGTATAGTCCTACTTGAGAGCATATGATGAATTCATTTATCTGTCTCCTCAAAAAAAAAGTGTGTTTCATGAGGGCAGACATGTTTCATTCACTGTTGCAATCCCAATGCTGCATAGCAGGTGTCCAAAATTTGGTGAATGAATGAATGATGGCATGAATCAATCTTGGCCTTATACCATCTACCTATACCAAGTCTTTATAAAAAACTGCCCCCATGAACTGCTCTATTGCATTTATCCCAAAGTATTTCTGAAAACATAGTTCACTTTATCTCATAATGGCTTTGTATGAATAGGCAAAAGAAGCTTCCCAGGTCTCAATCTCAAGAAGTGCAGTGTTTCTCCTACATAAAGAGAACAGCTTACATCATGCCACCTCACCTCTTTTCAATGCCTAAAAGGCTACGGGACAAATTTTGAGCCTAATTCTACCCAGCAAATAAAAACTTCATGAAGTTTATTGTTACCAACTTTCCCTCTAACTTCATTTTATTCCTCCACCCCTGATTACTCCATTCCTTCCCCTCTCTACACATTAAAAAAAAAACAAAACAAAACAAAAAAACATTATTTATAAAAGTAAACTTCTTCAAGAAGGACATACCTTTCCCCAAAGTATAACATATTTAGCTTATGGAGACACTAAAAGGAGTTCAAAGTATATTAAACTTTCTTTAAACAGTTTATCCCCATTATAAGTGCTGGGTAAACTTGAGTGTATAGGACAGGAGTTTATACGACTACTTAGATATTTCAGATTCTGGTGCTGCTTATTTTTCAGTATTTAAAAGCTGAATTCAACAAAGTGGTGTGAGAACACTTGTGCTAAAGACAGTGAGATAAGTGCAGCCTTATAAAGATGACTACCAGCAAAAAACACTAAAAGCAGACATTTTAAAGTCTAAAAAGAAGACGCAATTACACGTGTCAAAACAAACAGGATGTACAACACCAAGTATGAACCCTAATGTATAAACTATGGACTCTGAGTGATGACGTGTCAATCTAGGTACAAACGTTCTGTTCTGTGCAGGTGTTGGTAGTGGAGGGGGCTGTACACATGTGAGAAGAGGAATAAATGGGAAATCTCTGTGCCTTCCGTTTTCTTTTGCTGTGAACCTACAATTGCTCTGAAAAATACATCTAAAAAAAGAAAACCAACCAGGGACCATATTCTCCATCTTAAACACGCATATGTCCCTTTAACACTAAAATATATCCTACCTTGAGAAAGACATATCAAAGGCAAAGTTTATGCTTTTGCAAACATGCAGGTTTTAAGGGCACTCACTTAAGGAAATAAATTAGGAGGAAGAGGCCAAAAATAATACCTTGGTGCTTTAACACTAGAGATTGTCAAAGAATACCCACCAGTAACATTTCAAAGCTTCTAAATTTAAGGTAACATTATCTGGACACTGCAGTATTGAGGAAATCACATTTAAACAATGCATGCTTTTAATATAATCACTTAAATGGAGAAAAATTCATAATTGCTTATGTTAATTAATAAAGACTGTATTGTGGTTTTTATAATTAACAACATTTTAAAAAACGAGACTCTACTGTTCAGAACTTAACTGAAGCAGACTACAATGACTTTCAGCTATGGGAGACTTCACACATCACTGCTTAACTGAGTAGTTCTCAGCCTGGTTGCCCAATGTCATCACCAGGGAGCTTAAAAATGCTGGTACCTTTATGCTAAGTGAAATAAGTCAGAGAAAGACAAATATTGTATGATCTCACTTGCATGTGGAATCTTAAGAAAACCAAACTATAAAAGCACAGAGTAGTTTGGTAGAGAGTACAGAGTGCAGCAAGAATGAGTGAAGGTGATCAAGGGGACGAACTCCCAGTTGTATAAGAAGAACAAGTTCTGGGGATTTAATACACCACAGTGACTACAGTTAACAATACTGCATCATATATTTGAAAGGAAGACAACTTCCTAATACATAAATCATAAGTATGCAAAGTAAGAGGTGTGTTAGCTAACCCTGTGCTAATAAATTTCACAATATATACATTTATGAGAAGGGGACGACAGAGAATGATATGGTTGGATGGCATCACCGACTCAATGGATGTGAGTCTGAGCAAGCTTGGGGAGTTGGTGATGGACAAGGAAGCCTGGCGTGCTGCAGTCCATGGGGTCACAAAGAGTCAGACACAACTGAGAGACTGAACTGAACTGACATTTATTAAATCAATACCTTTTATACCTTAAATTTACACAATGTTATATGTCAATTATGTTTCCAAAATGCTGAAGCGAAAATGCTGATGCCTGGGTCAGATCCAGAGATTCTGATTTAACAAAACTGGAATGGAGCGCGGGCATCGTTAAGTTTTAAGTGCTTTCCACCCAAGTAATTTTAACATACAGCCAGAATGAAAACTGCCAGATACTACGTTCTTTGTTTGCATTTACTATCACTGCTCTCGGGCAGTTTTCACCTGATTACACAGTCTTGGTATTTTGTTATCAGTGTATTTAATGAGTCTCCTAAACAGCTGCCAAAATACAATCAGATTTTAAATTGTGGACATGCGGCTTTCAGTCATCTCATATTCAATATAGGAAAAAGGTTACAGGATTCCCAACCTGGGTTTGGGGTCTCATCTTCCACTGCGAGTTCCTACAGCTTAAATTAATAATAAAATTTTTCAAGTAATTCAACCCTCAGTAGGTTAAAAACCCTCACAAATCAATTTTAAACAAAAGTGGAGCAAGAGGAAAATGTGCAAAGAACATGAATAGATTGTTTACCAAAAGAATACAGATGGTCAGTATGATTGTTCAGCTTCATTAGTGAGGCAAAGAAATACAAATTAATGCCAAGATACAATTCTTCCATCAAACCAGCAACATTTTCATAAACACTCAAAAGAGAGAATATAGTGCAACCAACACTTAAGCTCATGGCTGAAATAAACTCAATAAAGTCTTAAAGAGTAGTTTGGCAGTATGTGTTGAGAGACTTAAAAGTGTTTATACCCTTCTTCATAATAGCAAAAGCTAAAAACAGCCCAAAGGGTCAACATTAGGGAAGTTATTTTATAGTTAGTTAAATTATTCAAAATCCACACATGGCTTTAGGGGGACTATTGTGTTTTGGTTAAATGCTCAAAATGCAATGTTAGAGGGAAAGAAAAGTATACATAGTATGATCAATTCTGTTATATATTATGGAAGGTAATATTCTGAAATGTTAACAGAACTAGGATTTTAATCTTAGACTTCCCATTTTTCTATTTTAAATTTTTCTATGAAGGATTTACTACTTACTTTCATTTCTAAGAGTTAAATGATGAGGCACAGTAAGCCTCTACGAAGGGAAAACGTAAATCGATAGCTAATCGCGAGGAACCACTGCATAGTAAGTGCGGTGAGCTGTGAGCGCTGAGGCCCTGGCGCAGGAGGCCGAGCTGCCCCAGCCCGACCACCGAGGATTAAGGGCCCGGATGCTCTCCGGTGGCCTCTGCAGCCTGACACTCTCCAAAACAGACCAATCAGGTTTTCTAAATGCAAACCAACTGACCCTTGCCTACCAAGATGGACACTACTTTTCAACCTCAGTCTGAGTGGTCACTTACATGGTGCACTACTAAACGACACAAAAGTAGGTCATTATAGCCAAGGTAAGATGAAGCTACAGGCTTCTGAGGTGGTGCAGTGGTATGAAGTCTGCCTGACAATGTAGGAGACACAGAAGACATGGGTTCCTTCCCCGGGTTGGGAAGATCCCCTGGAGTAGGAAATGCCAACCCACTCCAGTATTGTTGCCTGGAAAACTCCATGGACAGAAGAGTCTGGTGGGCTACAGTCCATGAGGTCGCAAAGAGTCAGACACAAGGGACCAACTGAGCACACATACACAAGATGAAGCTACCGTGAGGTTTATTATATACTAAATATTTATGAAAAACATGTCACTGGAAAAACTCTTCTCTGCAGCCCACCCTCAATGATGCACATAAGCTGCTCTGTTCAGAGAATTTTTGAATTGAAGTCTGATGTCCATTATTCACATTCATTAAAATAAAAAGTCCCTGGGGGAGTTCCATGGCCATCCAGTGGTTAAGACTCCATGCTTTCAATGCCAAGGGCTTTCGTTCAATCTCTGATCAAGGAACTAAGATCCCATAAGCCATGTGGCACAGCCAAAACAAAACAAAAATTCCCTGCAAGAGCAGACTTTATATATCTAGTTTCAAAGTGATTTTACAGAAAAACTGACATCTCTCACAACCCGTGAAGAAATAATGCTCCAATAATAAAACTGCAAAGAATGATTAATAATATAAAAAGATCACCTATAAATGGGATACTCAATAAAAACCTTGAATACTCAAAACCACCACACTATTTTCACATTAATATCCACTACAAAATACTCTATTTTTGCTCATCTCCAAGTCCCCCAAATGAAAGAACTGCCAGAATTATCTTGATATGATACTTCCAGATTCTTAAAAGAGAAATATATCAATAGTTTCAAAAACTTCAAGGAGAGAATGACCTAGTGTGTATACTAAGTTGCCTATCAGCTAAATGCTAAGACTACAAAACCACTCCGTAAACATATGTGGTCCAAATATCAAACTCAATTATTATGCATCACCAGGCACTATGCAAGTCTGCAACATTATTTTTACTCTTTAAAAGAAAATGCATTAATTGCTAAATTGTTTGGCGTAAGTCAACATTTAGCATAATTCCTTCAGTGTTTAAACTGCTGCCAAATAAAAGTTTATAAAGCACTTCTGAACTACTAAAATTATTTGCAACTTAATGAAAGCATAAAGCAAGAGTATCAGTTTTTATTCTCCCTCTTGGTTTCCATTCTGTATAAATTGCTGCATTCAAATTCCAAATCCCAAGAGTTTCGTTGTTAGACATATCCAGTTTAAGTTCACCTGAATGTCCGCAGTGTTGCACTCTACTTTCAAGTCAGTTCACAATTTATCCTATCTTTACATGTAACTTTTCAACAACTGCTTTAGTGTATCCCTCCTACCCCAAAGTTATAATGTGACTCAAGAAAATGAGGTACACATAATTATGACAACAGAAAAGGCCAATGTCAAAATTTTTCAGGGATAACAATGTGGATAGTTGAAATGAACTTCCTAATATTTAAACTTAAGCTGTTCTATCTTTGTTGCTTTGCATAATTCTAGGAAAGACCATTCATAGCTGCTTATACGTACAGCATCTTCAGAAACTGCAGCGTACAGCCCAGATAGTCATATATAGCGGCCCTGCATCTTACCTACTATTTGGTTCTCCATGATTACTCTACATATTTTGAAAACTCTGCGGATTTTCAAAACAGAAACTAAATTATAGATTCAGATAATTTACTTTAGTGTTTTGGTTGGTGTATGATTCAGAATAGACAAGAAATAGATGACTGACCTTTCAGAAGTTTTAGTTACTGGTCAAGGTAGTCATTAGCA